ATGTGGGTAATCATAACTTAAATTATAATTTGTATGGAAATAACCTTAATAGTGTTATGAAGGAAAGGGATCTTGGTGTAATAGTCTGTCAGTTGCTAAAGCCATCCATGCAGTGTACTGTTGCTAGTGGTAGGGCAAGTAGGATTTTAGGTTTTATCTACAGAAATATTGAAAACAAGTCTAAAGAGGTTATAATTTCATTGTATAGATCACTGGTTAGGGCAGGTTTGGAGTATTGTGTTCAGTCTTGGGCTCCTTACTTTAAAAAGGACTTTGAATTGTTGGAAAGGGTTCAGTCCTCACTAGAATGGTGCCTGGGATGGAGGGGTTATCATATGAGGAGATATTAAGGTCTCTTAAGTACTTTTCTCTTGAAAAAAGAAGAGTTTGATCTGACTGAGGTATTTAAAATTGTAAAGGAATTGATAGTGTTGATGCATCATATTTTTCATACTTCATGGCAAGAATAGTAGGACTAAGGAACAGAAGTATAAACTTTGGCAAAGTAAGAGACATCTTCAACTAAGACAGTGAAAGTTTTCTAACAGGATGGTTAGTCTCTGGAATGGGTTGCTTTCGAATGCAATAAATTTGAGTGAGTTTAAGAGAAAGCTTAATAACTATATGAAATAAGTGGCTTTAAGATTGTTATTTAATTTTTATTTTCAATTAATTTATATGATAGTTTTAGTTTAGAGGATGGGACACCCAAGATGGACCAATAGGTCCCTTAAAATACTTTAGCAAGTGAAAATTAGATTGTTATTAATTCTTACATCAGAAAATGTTGATAAACTGTATTTGAAATCATTTGTCAGCAAAAATCTTTATGATTTGGCAATTCCTTTAATAAAAAGAAGATACAAGGTATTTTGTATAATCTGTTTTGTTTTTGGCAAAATGTTGGTTTTCAGTTGGAATCTATTTGATGTCTAATTGGACACCACGTGGTGAATATACCTATTTCCCGTTTGTAGAACTATTGAAATCACTTTATTTTTCAACATGACTAGGACACAAATTTTCAGTGACATTTCTTAATATCTATATAGTGAGACCTAATATAACACAAAATAGCAGTTTTCTTAGCTTGTTGTAACATGGGTTATGTTGTATAATGGGATTAATTACATTGCATCCATCTCAAGACTAAACAGGTTAACATATGACCAAAGATAACAGTATACAGCAAGAAGGCCACTGGTTACATTAGTAAAGGAGCTCTCTCTTCTACCTCCTGCATGGTGACCAGGCTCCAGGTTAGGGATCAGCCCCTGTTGGTGCAACCCATGGTACCATCACCTAGTACAATACTCAACTGAAAAATTTAATTTCTCAGAAGAAGTAAGTATGGAGCCCAATTCTACTTACTAACCAAGCTTGGATGATGAGAGCTTAAAACTTCTGTACTTAGTTATGGATTATGATCAAACATTTCACTCACAAAACCAGAAATATAAGTTCTTTTGTTAGATTGAAAGCTATATGCCTTAATTAAAATGGGAGTACAAACTAATCTTCAGAATTAAAAGTAACATAACATTTGACCTTTCAAATCATCAGTCTATTTCATATCCTGCTAATGAATACTTGCATAATTGGTTTCATTACTTTAAGAAGACTGTAATAATGGAAATTTATGTTCTTATATAAACCAGTTTTTTCGTAAAATAAATGTAAAAAATTCAACAAGATCTCAAGTGATTAGGAAAAGTTAGTTTATACTGTATATATTTATGATAATTTTTGTTTTTATAGTAATAGAAATTTTTTATATTAGGTGGAAAAAGAAGCAGTTATCATTGAAACACTCAAGAAGTCAGAGAATCATGAAAACTGTTTGGTAATCAGACTCTACGAATCATATGGAAGTCATGTTACAACATCTATCCTTAGTCTGTTGCAGATTGTGAAGGCAATCTTGTGTGATGGCTTAGAAAACCCATTACCTAAGAATGACATTCATTGGAGTGATGGAAAAATGACACTGAGTTTTAAACCATTTCAGCTTATTTCAGTTCTCCTGTTTTTAAAAAGTAACATATGAGCAACATTGATCTTATGATCAGTTATATTACATGTATTCAAAGTTGTTGAAAGGATCATTCCCAACAGGTTATTTCTCTTGCCTTAATACATAAATAAAGTTTATTTTTATATCTGATATGAAGATAATATCACTAACCTTTGATCGTATTTTTTTGAAATGGAATCTTATTTGAGTAAATAAGCCAAATAATTTTAGTTTTATTTTCATATAACTTGGCACAAGTTGACAAGAAACTACTTGACATTTAATCACATTTTCTCTCTTAAAATTAGGAAATTAACTTTACTAACATTTTCTTGCTTCACTGTGTTTGTGAGACATCATAATGATGGTTTATCTTGAGATTAAAACAAAAAACGTTTACAGTACATTATAAAATTAATCACATCATTCAAATTAATATGAAAGTTAATTATACTTTAATGAAAATGTAGAATTAAAGCTGCACTTTTAATATTTAGCACAAAAATTACATTAAACTGCCCATGGCAAAGTAGGTTAGACATATAATATAGTCATAATTTTTATCATAGTAAATTAACTGCTAAGTGGCAACTTTATACACACTAATCAGGTTCTGTTGTATCATCAGTACCACAAAGTTTTTCTATTAATTTGATATTTTAAATTATTGCTTTTGCTGAAAGCAGAAATTAACAGTACAACTTATTTTTTTATTTTGTTGTTGTTGTTAAGGTGTGTAGAAAGAACTAAACTTCCAAAAGACATAAGTGTCACAAATTATGCTTTCATGGTGCATTGAATTTTAATTCCAGTTCTCTGGTTTTATTGTAATGTTTTATTAACCAGATTGCTAGTAACAATAATATGTTATTAAAAGGTTATTTATGCTTTTTATTAGAACTTTTGCAAACTAATTTCTTGAGTGTGATTTACATTTACACTTGAGATAAAAAAGAAAAAAATAATAGAATGAAATATATTTGTATTATAAACTAAGAAGCTTTTCCAGTGCTTTATTAAATGTAGATGTGTACTGCAAATACTGTAGTTGTAAATGTGTCTTGAAGATTAAAATATGAAACCAATCATCTGTCTTTTGAATTTTATTCTGAATCTTTAATGTGTACTCATTCAAACCTCTTTTTTACTAAAAGTCTACTAAATTAGGCAAAAAGGCATTTATTGCTACCTAAAAGAAACTTACAACTGGACATCAACACCAAATTATGGTGAAAAATCTTATTTTATAATATCAGGCAAGAAAGAGGTTTGACTTCTTTAAAGAGAAAAAAATTGGTATTTGAATGGGCTATTACATTTTAGCAGACAGTATAATTATTATTTATTTTTTAGAACTGTAGTTAAAATATGTTTTCTAAAATTGCATTATTTAATTATTTCAATTGTTATATTGTTGATTGATTACATGTGGGTGTCAAACAAAGTGCTGAAAATCTTTGTACATATGAAATGTTAACCTTGAAAGATTTGGAATTGGGCATTTAAGAGACCTGCAAATGCTGAAATTGCCCCTACAATTCTAAGAACCCATGAGTGAAACCAAAGACACACTACATCTGCCATATCCAGTGCTGATGAAGCCTTTCACCCAGTACATGGTGTTACGTATTACAATTTTGAATTAGTCCGAAACCGAGTTAACTGATAATTTAAATTTAGTAGTTAAATTGTACTTTAATTTAGTATTTAAATATATGCCGATGTTTTAGTCAATTTAAGATATTTGCCAACAAGATTGATACACACCGTTTTCGTTTTTAACACACATACGATTTGATATATACACAACAATACAATTTACAATAACAATTATTACAAATAGTTATTAAAAACAATAATTTATGAACAAAAGTTTCACAAACTTACAAACAATATAAAGTATTATTTCTAGCTTGGAACCTGCTTGATATGTTATCGAGGGTTCACGGTGAGCTTGTGAGTTGATGGAGATATATTTCATTTAACAGGAAGCTAGCTAGCTTTGTCTCTTACTGATCATGCCGATTTTTCCACCCATAAAGTTAGGTAATGCCTTCATAAAAATACTAATGTTCGAATTTTGTAAATGCTCCTGGTCAAATGTCTTAAGTTTTCCGATTGATAAGCGTTATAAAAATCACAGTTATAGCTTTCGAAGTTTATAGCACACTGATAATAGCGAACTACTAATAGACACTCTCTGGCACTTTGCGTTGGTTATATTTATAGCCGTGGGAAGGTTTTCTAAAAAATTCAGTCTTATGTAACAATACTGATTAAAGCGTTTGAAGCTAGAGTGTAAAAACAATTACTGTGTGCTATATATAAGTACAAAAGCCATGTCATGACACTAGTTTACAATTCAGAAATAAAAAGATCACGTTATCTACATAACTTTTAAAACAAAATATTTTCAAACTGTATCTGCATGTCTGTGTGAGCAAAAAATTTCGATATTCTCAATTATTTTTGCTTTATTTTCCTAAGTCTAAAATATATGTCTGTGTATGATACAAAATATATTCACACATACATAAATACCATATATATATGTATTGCGAAACTCTCACCTATTCTCCAAAGTTGTAATAGATTCTCAATTCTGGATGTCTTGAGGCAATCCCACTAGTAATCCCAAAATATAATGTGAAGAAACTCCCTTGCAATAATCCAAAATTCTCTAAAGTTAGGTGCCATTTAATTTTAACTCATTTAGTGGGGTGAGGATAAACTGAGATTTCTGACCGCCTCTGGTTATATTTCATTCCCCTTAACATACATTAACTTAAATTTCCACCACGGAGGGATTGGATTTTCCACACTCCTGAAGATGACGTGAAAACACGTTGAAACATGCAAAATGACTTTTACAACCATTGATCGGTTTAAATATAGATCTTAATTATGTATTATAAAAAGTTGTTCATTTGTAGATATTAATATTTTAATATCTCAACCATTACTTTTGTTGAGATTTTGTATTAAGCCTTTTAAATTTCTGTTGAATGTTTAATTGCGTTATAACGATTAATACTCTTCTAGGATTTCTTTTTCACAAATTTTCATTGTAAGGGTGAATATATATTACACTTTCTATACAGGAAGTTTTCTTGTTCTTTTAAGCTCTGATTTTAATACCTTAAGCCATTAACAAAGCATAAACCATAGAGGTGTCTTAAAAACTAGTGAAAATTCACTTTCTTTAGAAGTTTATATGACATTACAAATTCATTATATAAATAAACTACGAAGAATGAGATTCAGAAACTATATAAAGTAGCCTCACTTCTCTGAAAAATATATAACTTTTATTTCTATCAGATGTAGATGCATGTTATTCCATCTTTGCAAGACCATTGATGCCTGGGTGTAAAAGATTCCCTAAAATTCACTAGCAGAAAAGGGCGTGTCTAATAACAGTACCCATGACCAAAGATCGTTGCATCTTCCAGAGCCCCAGTGGCACAGCGGCAGGTCTGCAGACTTACAACGCTAGAATCCGGGTTTCGATACCTATGGTGGGTAGAGCACAGATAGCCAATTGTGTAGCTTTGTGCTTAATTACAAACAAACAAACATCTTCCAGAGTTCATTTTAAATTTAATGAGTAACGAAAATTGTCTTGTTTTTTTCCATTCAATTATTTAATGAACCAGGTGGTTTGTGAGTGAGGTTTGGTGTAAACACACGTTTAACAAGCGTCGAGTACAAAGGAAGCCATTCACAACAACATCGCATATATTGTGTATTTATAGCCACGTAAATCAACTTTCAATGAAAATTAATCAACTTTTTAAATAGGTCATGAACACTTGTAGTGTTTCATATAGTATATCTGTCTAGATTTTGGCGAAAATACCCAGCTGATTTTGCTGTAGGCTTGTGAAACAAAAACATGAGTAATAATAATAAATTAATACTAAAATACACACAATTTCAGCGACGTACGAAAATCAGTAGAATAAATCACCACTCACAAGAGTAGAGAAATCTACTAAGGTAATTGTCTGCAATTAGAAAACTCAATGAAATAGTCACAGAAAACCACGTAAAGACAAAGTACAACAGCGAATTCGAGAAATGATGAATCCTCGATGTTGTAGTTGCCCATTAATGCGCATTAGTAAAAATCCGGATTTTTTCAATGACGAAAGTAAAGAACGTTTTAAAACTACCCTATGACATACTGAATACTGCAGTCATTACTACTGTCCAGGTTTCCGTGAAATACTCGTAGTTTTTTTTTCTTGCTTCTGTAGTGGGTTATAAAACTATAATCGATAACAATAAGGCTGAAGACACTGTTATAAATATACACATTGTTTACTCTAATAAAATGAAGCATTTCCAACTAGCATAAAATAGAGCATTCTTAACTACTATAACGGTGCTTAAATAGCTTATGTTTGTAGCAAAGAAGAAGTTAGAGAATTTTAGAGGGTGGAAATCTCAACTCTCAAGAATAAACTTAAACATAGCCCTACAACCTTCGCAGGGGTTTGTTTAGTAGTTGTGCATGAATGTTGGTGTAGTATATCAATCTGTTTTGCTCTAGGCTTTGAAGAGAAACTTGGCAAGCAGCGATGAAAAAAAAACTGATAAAATCTTTCCTTCTCTTTTGAACATAAAAATAGTCCTATGACGATGCACAGGAATTTATTAATAGGTTTGCCAAGGATTGAATAAAATATTCTTAGCCATTTTTGCTTTAGGCTTTTGAAACAAGAACAATATGGATAATAATAATAATATGATGAACAAATGGGTGAATTGTAAATGTTGTTTAACAATAAAAAATCAACTTTTTATCAATATTTTTACAACCTTAGCCATTGAGGTAGAAGTCTTGAGTGTTGTTTTAAGAACAAGTCTGCTTTTTATGATGGTTTTTACCTGTATGTTTTTGTCAGGAACTGACTTGTTGAGTAGTTGTAATATATATATATATAGAGAGATTGTATTGGGCTAAGGATTCTTGTACAGTAGGTGTCTGTGACTTGTTGGCAATAAATTCGACAATACATGAACAGCATGCACTCCACTTGTTTTAAAATAATATATTCAAAACAAGTTAATCGTATGTACAAAAATTCTTCACACTATGTATATCATAGTTGTGTCTTAAATATTACACAGTTCTCTTCTCTTGTCAAAAGTCCACTTAGGTTAATTCAATTGCTTTATAATTCAGTTGAGAAGCCAAACTATTATTCTCTATTTTCATCAAATTAGTATTAGTGTATAATTTACTTAAGCTGCCTCATGAGTTACTACAGTTGTATCCTGAGCTTCCGGTACTCGTCTGCTTTTTCGTATTTAGGCCTACTTCCAAATAATCGTCTGTTTTTTGTCATAGTCCATGCAAGCAGGTTTAATTGCTTTATAACACCCTTTGACGAGACTAATAATTCTCCTAAAATGTCATAAAACTTTCAATCTCGCTTTAACATATCAATCATTAGGATATTCACTCCTACGACAGTTAACTTTACGTTTTCTAACTTTTCTCTGACTTTTGGCTCTCATCCCACTCTCTTTTTTGTCTTTTTGCTGCTATTTATAGGTCTATCACTTAGGCCTTCTATAAATCTCTATATCCTCGACATCAATGAATTGCACGAACCCTTAGATAGCCTCGGCATCAATAACTTACAAACACAACTTCATACAATCGTCTGGTTTTAACTCTGTAGATTGGTCTCCATAAAAAAGTAATTGTGTGATGTCAAACTTGATTATATTTTTTATTCATTTTAAAATGATCACAAATGCTGAAATAAATATTGAAAAATAATTCTTCTTTAATTAAAGGAATGAGAATCTAATCTGATATAGCATAAATACCATGAGAATCACTACGATAAGTAAACTGAGCAAACTTTTTTATAATAATCATAACACTCACTTTGAATAGTACATAAAACGCATATCTAGTAAACAATTTTTAAATGATTTACACTGAAGAGCAACAGTCACAGATGGGATCTACTCTAAACTTTTACCATTCATCTTGAGAAAATGTTATACATTTTTATCAGGGTATAATGTATCACACCAGTGGACATACATAACTTCTAGTCAAGAG